CACTTCGTTGGCATCGAGCGAACCACCTGGGTTGGGCTTGTAGAGGCGGATCAGGTTTGGCTTGTATAGGTAGGCGACACGGATGTTACCACCTGGCTGGCCACCATCCTGATCATCGACAGGCACGATGTCTGTGAATGTGTAGTTGGGGCCGCCTGCAGCTGAGATGGCAGCAGTCAGAGTGGTTAGGGTAAGGTTTGCGGATACAACTGCGAGAGGTCAGTATTAAAATTATGCACTGGTTCACAAGCCGAGGGTGTGTATCATAACATGTATAGGACGCGTGAAAGGTAGGACAGCTCGTGCGCGGCCCGCTAGCGGATACCGCATCTGAACAGCGAGGGAACCGGTGTCAAGCAAACTTTCTAGAACACTTACTTGCGTCATTTGTAGGACCGTTGTCGTCTTGTACTTCCTGTACGAAGATGATATCTGGACTCTTCATGTAGTTCACAATGTGGTTTGCCAGGTCAGGATGGTGGTCAGACGTAGGTGCCAAGTTCTCCACGTTGTAGGCGCCAAAGGTGATGCCGTCGCATTTACCGTTCGACACGAGCTTTGTCGCTGAAGGAAGGGTAGGCTTCTGGCTCTTGGTGACCTTGATCGCGGTCGTTGGGAGGATTCGGTAGAAACCGAAAGCGTAGCTGACGATACCAGTAATCTCGTCAATTGAATCACCCATCTTGGCGTCAGTGGGGTTCTTGGTTCCGTCGAGCGGAGTGCCGATGACGATTGTCTCTGGGTTGGCATCCTTGTCGGTGATGGTCAATCCACCACGGTCGTTGCGACCCGACACCTTCCAGTTTCCAGCAACCCATGTATCGCCGAATTGGTTGGGCTTGGTAAGCACAGTAGGCTTCTTGACCGTAACTAACTCGCCAGACAAGCTCTCCCAGAAGTCGAGACCGTACTTCTTAGGCTGCAGCTCAGGGTTCGCAACGCTGATCTGCGATACATTGTTTGGCACAGCGAAAACGTCTCCGCCATCCAAACTGCTGTACTGCTCGTTCGGTGGGTCGCGAGTATCTTTGCCAATGACCAGCGGCTTTACGGCAGCTCCTGAGCTGAGTCGCCCCTGTAATACTGGTGCCGAAAGCTCAGTCAGGTAGATGTAGTCCTTATTCGAGCGGTACTCGAGCACCTTTCCTCCTACGACAATGGTATCGCCAACAGTCAAATTCGCGCCAAAGGTGCGACCGAAAACGTACAAGGACTCGGATGTCCGTTCATCGCTGTCGGGCTTTGTCGATCGCAACCAAAGGCCATCGGGCCCCTTCGCTGTGACAACACCGGTTACGTTCGAAACGGTCTGGTCCTTGTAAGGCGAGAGAAACTTGTTGCCATTGATCTCTGCAATCGTAAGCGCAGTAGACACTGCCACAGACGCCGAGAGGGCGAGGAACCGTGTTAGGGGCGCCATAACGAATGGAACGAAAGTGATTCGGAATGGTATCCTCCAAAAAAACTGATGCTCCGGCCCTATCTTCTTATAATCCCCATACTGCCATGCAACCATGCGTTCCAAGAACCCGGTCCCGGTGCTCTATCAATGACGATCGCGCTACACTACACTACACTTGACCTGTTCCTGACTTTTATCGCCGCATCGCCGCCCGGCCTAGCCGTTGACAATCCACCGTCACTAACTCATAGTTGCACTTGCCTATCAGAGCAGGAGGATAGCATCTCGCCGCTCACGCGCGAGCTCCGATGCCTCTTGGCAATACCACAGACTTTCTTGTCGTGCTTGACCACTTTATCGACGCGTGCTGCGGCGCGTGTGCTGTCATTGGCTTGCTTTCGAGGTGCTGGGGTGCGGGACCCTGGCTGGGCGCGGGCCGAGGTCGTAGCTACTTCGGGAAGGTGGACGGTGATTGGTGCGAAAGCGGGATGCTGGGAGATTGGGCGGCGGGTTCCGCTAGCGGTGGGGAAGCGATCTAGGGACATTGCTATCAATCAGACGGGAGAGATAAGACACGTGTGTTATTGTCGCATGCGGATTATAGGAGGCGAGGCTTGAGCAGGTGTGGCGGTGGAAGGGACGGGTGATAGAAGGATGAAGGATGGTGGAAGACGAAAGACGGGGGCGAATAGGAGGAGCGCACGTGGACTTGGCGTAACAATTTCGATCTTTGGTGTAAGGGCATATTTATTTCGTAGATGATGGTTCTAGCATCGGACGCGTGATGATGTGTCATGGGATATGCAAGCAGTAACAAGCTCGTGCCTCGTAAGTCGTACTTGATTAAAATACAAACCTAGAGGCAACCCGTCCTTGACGTAGGCAAATGCAGGATACATCGAGCACATATGGGCTATGGTATACTTGGATGCAGAACGTAGAGAAAGGAGTTTCTTCCTGAGCGGCGCTAGCAATTGCGCTTCATGCACCAACGATACTGATAGTCACGCATCTGCAACGTTTGGTAACCCAGCCTTCTAATCCTCTTCACTTTCCCACCCGTACCCTCTATCCCACATGCTACCATCGCCCCCGCCTTCAGAGAGCCAATAAGAGCGCTCTTTCGTGTACTTTGCGTCCCTCTTCGCTTGAGCTATGGCAAGCGCCGCTGCCATTCTGGGAGTCGGTGTTTTCGATGGCGGGGGATCTTTGCCAACTGATCAATTCATCAGTGTCCTGGGATGAGCAAGAAGGAGGGCGACATACTCATCTCCGTATCTCCATCTCCTGTTGCATCATATTTGCCATCCTCCTGGGTTCGATCTACACTGCTGATGCTATCATTGCGGCTGATCAGGCAAGCTTCGTTTGAATTAGATATTCTAGCTTTCTTAGGCTCGCCGTGGTCTGCGGAGCGAATTTCCTCACTCGCTCGACGTTTCGAACCGGTCGCTGCGGACCAAGCATCTTGTGGGTGAGCAGCGTCCGGTCGAGTGGACATAGACCTTTGGCCAATAGAAGTAGTGAGGAAATGGTGACTCTTCCCGAAACCTGCGCGCTCTGGTGGTCTTTGTATATGCTCTCGTTGAGTTGGTGCTGGCACAAGCGACTGCGGATTGTCAAACGGGAATTCGTACGGTGTTGAGGGTAATCCCATCATTACGATAGGTTGTGTCAGGTATGACATATCTGAGTTTCGACGATGTCCTCTTCCTCCCGTTTGTACCGCTCGTTGAGGTCTAAATTGCGGGACTGGCTTACCCAATGGCTTGCGTGGACTAGATGAGATACCTGGTAGGCTTTTCTTTATCTTTCTCCAGACATCTGGCAATAGTAAATTGTTAACCAGCTGATCTGAAAGGTTAAGACGGATTTCACTCACCTGGAGTCCTTGTCATCAGGCAATCTTGGAACTTGACACGTAGACGAGTGGGATCCTTGAGTGGTGTGTCTTCTGTCGATGGTAGCGAGGAAAGTTGCTCTGGAGAAGTTCGTATTTCATCGGCTGGTGGAGAGTTCTGTGCGAAGACTGGGGCGGACTCTGGCAACGATGGCGTTGGTGAAGTCGCCCATGAAGGGTTCAGAGCATTGTATCGCCACGGTAGGTATTCGAATTCCATTTCCTCGATATTTTGAGCTGCGATAATGAGCTCATTAACACCACCTGGGTACTTCGAATAAGCTATGAGGCGGTAGCATGCGTCGGATATGGGTGCCTTCTTTTTTTCGTCCTTTCTCGTGATATCAATGAGAAGCTTAGCCGTTACGTGACGGAAAACTTCGAGTATGAGGTCAACTAGCAACCGGCTTGCCACGATATCCTCTCGTCGCCTCTCGAGGATCTTAAGAGATTTGATCTCTTGGCGGAACTGAGGCATTATGAGGAGTTGAGGGGACTTGCAGATCTGTGATTCCAGGAAATATTTTCGAATCTCAATCAAATCAAGGATACCCCGCTCCAACTCTAGATAGCGTTGAAACATAAAGGGGTGCTCGACCAATCTCTGTACGGGTGCTTCTGAGAGTACCCAAGGCTCGGGTATGATAAGCGGCTCTGGTGCTTTGAGGCTTTCGGTAGCCTTACAGTAGATGCGAGATCTCAATTCGTCACACCGCTCCAAGGCATGCACCTCCTGTGCAGCTATGGATTGTTGCATGTTGGCCCTTCGTTCTGCAGTAGCAGCATCAATTGCATCCCAGGAACCTCTTCTCGCAATGGAAGGGCTGTGAAGTTGTTAGCACATTGTCGTAGAACTCTGCCTGCTACATAGACAGTAGGACTTTTGATGTTTTCCAGAGTGATGTATGTAGATAGCAGAGTACTACGCGCTGTTGCTAGGTCCTCTTGCAAAGGGAAAAGTATAGGATACCGTAAGAACATACTATTAGGAAGTTAGCTGCGTATGCTAATAATTCGCAATGGGTGTCTCACCCGATAGGAAGAGCCCGGTGAGGTACGACCTTCCACGTTTATAGCAACTGCATCAGACTCTTCTTCGACCGTGGCATCTATGTCTGGCGTCGCGCTGTCCGATCTGCCTCTGCTTACGAAGGTACGTAGCTCATTGGTCAGGGATTTGGGGAGATCTGCTTCATACAAATCCGCGTTGGAATCATCGCTCGTAGGAGAACAAGTTTCGCCGTCCCCAGGACTACCGAAAACCACAAACGACGACATAATGTTGCGATTTCGGGGAAAACTTGGGTGTGTATGGGTGCTTGTGTTTGTGCCTATAGCGAATCATGCATGTTGTTCTGATGCGCGACGATGAAGGCTTGTCCAAAGAGCTGTAGTAGCAATATCTGCTGAGTGATAGCCTACGCACGTTAGTAGGTTACTTGTCCCATGCACAATTTGCTCACCAAACTTGCGGTACCAATGGCGATGAATATGCTGAGTATGTACAAGAAGACAACAAGGTGTTCTGGGGATCAAAGCGCTTGTGTGGTCTTTTTTGCCGTCCAGATTATCGAGGGAAGCGCATGCCTAGTCGTGTGCAAAAGGAAAGGAAGACTGTAAGCCGGTAGGGGAAGGTACTAGGTCGAACCTCGCAAAAGAAGGAACAGATGTAGAATCCCTTCAACACCCTCAACACTTCTACCTCCCAACCCCGTAGCAACCTGGTAGCTCTTGTACCACCGGACGTCCCTCCTTCGGCTGCCATATTTCTACTCCTGGCATCTCGTACCTTTCCAACATCTTCCAGTCGAACTTTGCAGGTCTCGGCTTCAGAGATTGCTCCATCACAACAACACTGACGCCATACGGCTTTGCCTCGTTTCCATAAGTTCGTATCAAGCTGGCTCGATTTCTTCTGATATTCTTGCGCCTTTCGGCCCGGCGATACATTAGGATCAGCACAAACGCCGTTGTAGCTGCACTAAAGACTGCGCCTACAGCTATGCCCGCTATCGCGCCGGTTGGAAGAAACATTGCATATAGGTTGGTCGGAGTTGAGGACCTTGGGATCTTTGTCGGAGTGATGTGAGTCGCAGACGGGATGGCGGTGGCTACGATCGTTCGATTGTTTACGGCGAGTGGATCGGAAATATATCCTAGTCTTCGATGTGGAAGAGTCGATTGCGATGGTGTATGTATGAACGTGGCCATGGATGTCTGGGAGTAATGAAATGTTGATCTTATGATTGTAGACGACTTACGCAGCGCACTATTCAATACAGTTCTGGCTCATAGACGAACGGCAAAAAGCACAGCTACTTGCACACCATCTCGTATGCCACTTTGCCGTTCACAAAGCACAAGGAGAAATGATTCGTAAGATCAATAGTCGTTCATTTCCACATCGCGCCGATCTGACAAGGCCTACTATTACCAGCAACTTTAAGCGGAAAGCTCGTTAGCATATATTACTTCTTTAGGATCGTGAGGCCTAAAGTGGTCTGAGATCAGGCTGAGCCTGAGCGTTGAAGGATTCAGCTGACATCGAGAGCGATGAATTCGGAGTAAATCTGACCCGCGCGCCACGACGCATGGTACAGAAAAGGGGATTTTTGTATCATTGGTGGCGTTATGTAGGTACAGCAGTCAGCTGCATACAAATGCTGCAAGCTCCTACGATTTATTTACTCCTTTGCTGTCGAACAGGAGGAAACACTTGTAAGCATGGTAAGGGGAAGAGAGAACGGGTGATGGCATACGAAGTCCGAGCGTTGGACAAGCGCTAGAACGGAAACGGTATTAGCGTCTGTCTCATGCACAGCGGTACCCATGGAGAGAAGCTATATTGAACGAAGCATGACGTTCTCAAGGATTTGAGCCTTTGAACTCAGCAACAATATTCGACAGACAAAGCGGTTCGCGTACCTCTAGAGTAGAGGGAAAAGGGTATATTATAGAAGCTAAGGTACGCGCCTGGGCATCCGCCTCCCACCAAGCGAGACAGCTTTGTAGGGAGGAATCGGAGGGTATATGCCCAAGTCGCTAGAAGTAGAAGTTTAAAAAAACAACAGCAAAAGCCATCCCATCAGTACCCCATTCCAGATCTGGACCCTAACCTCGTGCCGTGTTCCCATACCTATGCAAACTCCAGCCCATCCACCCATCATAATCCTGTAGTCATAACAAACGCAAACCATCTAAAAAGCAACACCTACTGCTCCCGGGCTAAGCGTCATCAAGCTTCTTCTTCCATTAACACCAACATCTTTAGCACTAATCTCCATACCCTTGAGTAGATCAAAGTTGGGGCTCATAGGCGGCTTCTCATTCATAAAACCCCTTGTACTTCTTCCACTCAACAAGCCAGCCTCAGCAGCAATCTCCTTCTCCTTGACAAGTGTCAGAGGCGCAGGAACACGACGTAGCTTTCTAGGTGGCGAAGATGTAGCGACGGTGGAGAGGGAGTTGGTTGGCGAGGATGAGCGGGTGGAAGGGTATGATGTGGAGAAGAGTGTAACGGTAGCTGTACCGTTGCTCTCTTGGCTTTCTTGACGTATGTGTAGTGTGCGTGATCCTGCAGTTGAAGGACGCGAAGGCGAGGTGGGAAGGGCGGGATGCGGTTCGCACTTGTAAAAGGAGTCGGCGGTTTTCGGGGTTGTAGGACGCGAGCTGGATGCCAGAGTGGAGGTCGAGCGCTTGATCCAGGCTCCTAGCCGGGCGATTGGTGTAGTGGGCGTGGCGGGTGGTGGTGGTGTAATGGGATTCGAGTTCAAGGGACCGGTGTGGGAGAAGGAAGGTGGTGCGAGCCTGAGTCCCATTGTTGCCCGGCGGGCTGGGGTGCCTGCCTCTGGGGTGGGGGGAAGCGGCTTGAAGCTCAGAGGGGCAGAGAACGCAGAGCCGATATCCGAAAGAGTTTCGGAACGGACATGCATGCGCATGGATGGCGCGATGTAGGGCACGTGGTGAGACGGAGAGGGTGGGGGACGGTTGACAAGCGCGGGTGATTGAGCGTTCGTGCGATACGCGCTGGCACGGCGTTCCTCAATGATGGTGTTCAATTCGCGAATAGCATCATCCACATCGGTCTTGGTACGACGGAGACTGCCTGGTCGAGAGGACGGTGCAGTACTGGCACGATTGCGCGATGGCGATGGTAGACGTGAGAGTACACGAGCAGGTGACAAGGTACCAGATGTGCGCGAACGCTGAATGGTAGGTCTCTCAAGTATCTGATCACCAGTAATCTGTGAATGCTCTGGGAGGTATGCCAGTGTAGGCGTAGCCATAGTACCCATGGTGGTTCCTGAGAGTCTCCTCTCGTGCGTGGTGGTGCTCTTCTGACTTTGAACACTGTTCCGTCGAGATTGCCCACCGACTGGTTTACGTTGAATGATGAAAGAAGGTTCTGAAGATATAGAGCTCGTACGTGAGTCTCTCACCCTAATGTGTGCCTCAGCAGGACGCTCTAGCTGCGATTGTAGACTATTCCATTCATCTTGACCGTCGAAATCAGGCAATGGAGATAGATGACCACAGCCGTCGGGAAGATAGATAGACAGCTCAAGGGGGCGAAAGCTACGACGGCGGCGGATGGGCATGGAAGCGTCATTGAGAGTTGAGGGTATATCATCAAGACCATCAAAGTGGCGGAAGTCAGTTGGACGACTAATGCTGGGTCGAGAGTGTGAACGTTTTGGTCGCGCAAGGGTCGAAATACTCGCACGAGATGAGGCACGTGCTGCGTATTCGCGACTGTTGGAAACCCATTGCGAGACATGACGGCTCATCGACTGGCTCGTTGATGGACGCTGTTGTATTGGCTCAACGCAAGGCTGTGGTACGGGTCGCGGTTGTTCGTAGCATATCCGCATATCAGTCTCGCCTATTGATCAAAAGCGTTAGCATCATGTTAGATTAATCGAGATTACCCGATATGGTCCCAACATATTGGAAGGATGTTGGAAACCATCGTCCGGATATAGTCGCGCATTAACGATATTAAGGGAAACGCAAGAGCTGCATGATGCATCTCAACAAGAAGGTTGGAGTTGAAGATCACCAGTGGGCTGTCGGTGAGAACAGACAAAGGAGACGGCGAAGATGTTGAGCGCGAAAAGAGAGCGCAACAAGAACTAGTAGACGTAACGATGAAGAGTGAAAGGGAAGTTCAGACATACCAGTAGCTCTCAGCGCGTCGCTTCCATCGTTCGCAAGGTCTTCTTTCGATGCACAGCATCCAAATTTAATGGCCAGCCATGGGGACCTTGGTTCCTTCTCTTGCATCCTTCCGTAATTCATCTTCTTTTTCTGCTGTAGACCAGTACAGCTAACAATCCATCATCAAAACAATCCAGAACAGTCGAACGAGAAGCGTGGTAGAGAATGTCGCGCCCGAAGAAGGCAAAAGCAAAGACTAATAGATACTAGCAAGAGGGTAGAAGAAGGCAGGAAAGTATGGTAAGGATGAAAGAAAAAGGCTGACTGCGCGAACCATTCGGATAAAGTCGCAGCCTGTCGACGAATGTGTTGTCCCGCAACTGGTGGTTCGCTTCTGAAATGCGCAAGCCTGTAGGTTCTGGCCGTCAGGAACAGCAAACCACTCGCAGCTCACAGGACGACAGTGGCTCGCATGTTATAGATGAGGCCTGTCCCTTACCTTTCCGTAGGCGCCCAATGGCAGCGCACCCCTACCATGGTGGTTGTTAAACTCACAAGTTAGTTCGCGTTGAGGCTTGCGTGCATTGAGTTGAGATGGTAGGGTGTGGGGTTTGATTGGCCAGGGGAATAGAGTAAGCGCTCAAGGCAGAGCGGAGACTTGCAGTAACGTGGACCAGTGACAAGGCAATAGCGCTTGCGGCTTGAAACTGCCAGAAGCCTTGTCGGCATGTGGCGTGCTGGGTTCCCCTTCGTTGGACAGTCTGGCACCAGGGCTGCTGCTTCATATCGGGTATGTTCGAGCATGCGCACAGCTGTCGCGTCCTCGAGCGGATCATCATGACAGTGCGGGGATGCCTTGGAACACTGGATGCTATTTGCGAAGTTTGAAACATGCACAACGCAACGAACGTCATTGTTTGAGAATTTTTGCAGAGGCAGATTCCGATAGATGATGGTGTTGTTGAAATCGATGAGGGCCGAATGCTTTGTTCGGTAGTTGTAAATCGCGTGCACGCCCGACCCATCGGTCGTGGAGGCTCTCGCCAAGTTCCCTCCCGCACTTGCGTGCATCGCAGGATCCGCGCTGCAGCGAATCGGTTAGCTTATCGTCACTTCTCACAAAATACCTTTTGGTTAGCAGTGTGCGATTGGTGAGACGAATCATTCTTGAAACAAGCATAGAAAAATTCGCAACCCCTCTCTCCCAATCGAAACCAAGAGCGGGCTTTTCTTGTTTCTCAAAGCATCTTTTCGTCGTACTGAGTTTTGCTGGTGCCAGCACATCAAGGCAGACCTGGACGCCTTACTCTGCAGAAGCATCGCACGGGAGACAAAATCTCCACCTGCGTTTCGATTAGGAATACGACACAGACATCCACTAGGGCTTGGATTGATAGGCTGCATGTTTTGGGACGACACCGGAAACGTATGCATGTTGGACCGCAAGCTGCGCTTGTTAGTTCAAAGTGCGATAAACATCTTCGTGGTCAAGGTTTCGATTTTATCCGACCAAACAAGGAAATCGCTGACATTCTAACGCCGCAGAAAATATATCGCAAGGTGTAATATGTGACATGAGCTGGGGTATAAAACAGATCGTCGGCCCAAAATCTGACGAAGTAACCTTCCAGGAAATCGGAATCGTAGATGTGTCATCAGTCGGCATTCCAGGCGTTGCGCTCTTCCCTGAAACTGCCGTAGGACGGGCTGGGGTGATCATCGTTCTCGTCCTCATCTTGCGTCTTCTGATTGCTGACATCGCGTGATTCCCAGTGGTTGGCTTCGCTGACGATGTGTGGTTTGATATCATTCTTTCTCTGCTCCTCTTCGCTTTGGTTCTCCGTGAACGGATAGTTCAGGTTATGCTCAGCTTCTGGGTTCTGTGCCTCAGGCTCATCTGGGTTGAAGCCCTCTCGAACCTCTTCTTCTTCGCCCGCCTGGTACGTTTTGCTGCAATCTTCATTAGTCTCATACGCCACCCCGGATGTGGAGAGCAAACTTACACAAAGTGCTTAGAAGGAACTTCGTTCCATCCCGGACCACCTTCCTTGCGTGCCCTGACACGATCGACTTCCTCAGCTTGATGATCCTCCACGACAAGATCCACAAGTTGGCTCTTGTCAGATTTGGCTGAGCTTGAGGAAGACGACTTTTGGCGGAGAAGGTTGGCGAATGGGGCGCGCGACTTGGAATGAGATGACTTTGAGCGAGAAGATTCTCCTTCGCTCGAATGACTGCGCTGTTTGCCCTTGTCTGCAGAGTCCTGAATGTCTTGAATCTGGCTCTTCCTTCTCCGTTTGTTCTCCTTGGTGGGTTGCAGCAGGTTCCGGTTGGTCGATGCGGTCAGAATGTTCGGGTCGGCGTACATGCGGTCTTCGCGAGACGGACGGTGAGCTTCGATAACGGGATACTGCAGCTTGGTTAGATCGAAACCCATCTTTGAGAGGTGCCTACTTACGTTCCAGTCTCCGAACTCGAGTTCACGAGCGTTATCATATAAGCGCTCTTCCTCGGCGTCCAGGTTGGGCTCTTCGACCGTGTCTGGTGTACCGTACTTGGCACCCTCGCCCTTGAGAGCCTTGTGTGGCCCGGGGCTCATGGCTCTGGCGCGGCTCGATGTAACTTTGCTGAGAAGGGGCTCATGTTCTGATCCTTGTCCAGGCTTAGGGATCCAGTACTTGCCCTTTCCTCCTCGTTCATATCGCATGCCCTCAGCCATACGTGCAGCACGCGATGATGACTCCTCGTGTGCCAAAACGTTGTCGCGCGCATCAAAGTACCGATATTCATAGTTCTTACCAGCAAAAGTTTCTTTGGTGTCTTGGATGAGATCCAGAGGGCCAAATGCGTCACGCAGAGCGTACTTGACGGGTAACCGTGCGGCAGAGATGGTATCGTCGGCATAGTCGTGCCAGGAAAATGCATACCAATGGGCAAGTGCAAAGAGTGGCATCTCGAAGCAGATAAGAGCATCCTGTATAGCAGCGGCCAAGTTATCGGGGCTGTAGCCAGGTACGTCGTCTGGAATGGCTCCCAAGAAGACAAGGATGGAAAGGAAGAATCCTTGCCAATAAGAGGCGAAGATGATGCCCTTGATGCACAAGAACTTGGGCATGGGCCGGAAGGGCTTAAGATCAGTAGACATGCACACCCAGAACATGGCGAGGGCGTACAAACTGATCGTGATGCTGACGTTGTAGATCATGCCGCTCCAGAAGTAGCCAGAAGTCCATCCTATGTATCCTTCCTGGTATGTACCGGTAGCCTTCATGATGATGGTCGCCACAGACAGAAGAGGCTTGACCCACGTGTATTGCAAGATTCCACGCTTAATGGCGAGGAAAGTGTGTGGGTCGGATATGTCGATCTTGGAGCAGACGAGGTTGAGCGGCCACAGGTGAGATACGGGCGGGCGGCCGGTCATGAGGATGATGAGGGCGCGTTCGCCGCCGATGAAGTTGATAAGCAGCTGGAGGAAGGTGTAGATGGTGAAGGCCTGAGCCATGCGTCAGTGATAGTTGCCAGAGGGAGAGATTGTATGTACCTCGTAAACGTCTCTGAAGGGCTCCACGTAGGACGCTGCAATAGTCGACACCAAGCTGGCCCATGATGCGCCTGCGTAGATGGGGACCCTTTATGATATGAGCAATGACATACGACTGCTGGAGAGAGTGCATACATGAGCAAGATACGGATGACATATCGCTGTAGCACCGGTTTACGGTAGTTCTTCCTATGTCTTGTTCAGCATACGGGCGCCAGCGGTCGGCCGGTTCGCTCTCACGTTTGTAACCAGACAGCACTACAACTACGTCAGCTCGAGTCATGCAAGATAGAGGCTCTACCACCTACACGAAAGTAACTAGACTCGCGACAAGAGCGCATACGCCTGCTACAATGATGACAGCACGTGCAAAGCGAGCACCGGTGCCGCCAGACAAGTCGGCGCCGGTAACGTCTTGTGGGAGGGTGCCTGAAGCCATGTTGGGGCGGCGTAGGCGAGCAAACAAACACGAAAGAAGCGGCAGTCGCAGTCGTGGGGTCAGTAGGGAGAAGAGAAGGCAGACGATGGTACTAGCGATGGATCGCAGCCATGGTGTGTGTGCTGTCGACTGCCACCCGGTGTCGTGCGTGTGGT